ATGCTTGGGTCATTTCTCCCCTGTGCCCCCCCCCCCTCCCTTACTACCCACTCCACCCCCCCCTCTCCCCCACTCCCTCAATATCTGGCAGAAACTACTTTTCCCTTATCTCTAATTTTGTTGAAGAGAGAGTATAAGCAATAATAGGAAGGAACAAGGTTTTTGCTAGTTGATAACTACATTTTGAATAACACACATCAGCATCTTGCTTAGGCAGGAATCCAGACATAGGCCTACCAGGCAAGAACTGTCCTCATCAGGCAACTAAAGTAAGCAGAGGCACTTAGCACAGGCAGCTTCTCAGGTCACATGCAAGACTGGGGCCAAGCAGCTAATCAGTCTTCCACAGGTTAAGATTTCAATTCATGCTCTGCATTTAGTCTGTGTTCTTCTCAGACTTAGCTTCATCTAAAAGAGAGAGGCAGAGGGAGAGGAGAGAAGAACCATATTTTGACTGTCAACCGAAAGAAGAAACTATGTATTAAATGACTAACTTGCAACCTGTAATCATTGACAGAGTTGTCTTTTTGTTTTTTCTCAGGAGGTACCCAGGCAACATGGGTGACTGGAGTGCCTTAGGGAAACTTCTAGACAAGGTCCAAGCCTACTCCACTGCAGGAGGGAAGGTGTGGCTCTCAGTCCTCTTCATTTTCCGAATCCTGCTACTGGGGACAGCAGTTGAGTCGGCTTGGGGTGACGAGCAGTCTGCCTTTCGTTGTAACACTCAACAGCCTGGCTGTGAAAACGTCTGCTATGACAAGTCTTTCCCAATCTCTCATGTGCGCTTCTGGGTGCTGCAGATCATATTTGTGTCTGTACCCACACTGCTGTACCTGGCTCATGTATTCTATGTGATGCGGAAGGAAGAAAAACTGAACAAGAAAGAGGAGGAGCTCAAAGTGGCCCAAACTGACGGTGCCAACGTGGAGATGCACTTGAAGCAGATTGAAATCAAGAAGTTCAAATATGGCATCGAAGAGCACGGTAAGGTGAAGATGCGAGGGGGCCTGCTGCGAACCTACATCATCAGTATCCTCTTCAAGTCTGTCTTTGAGGTGGCCTTCTTGCTGATCCAGTGGTACGTCTATGGCTTCAGCCTGAATGCCGTCTACACTTGCAAAAGAGACCCCTGCCCACACCAGGTGGACTGCTTCCTCTCCCGACCCACAGAGAAAACCATCTTCATCATCTTCATGCTGGTGGTGTCCCTGGTGTCGCTGGCTTTAAATATCATCGAACTCTTCTATGTCTTCTTTAAGGGTGTTAAGGATCGTGTGAAGGGAAGGAGCGATCCTTACCATGCCACCACTGGCCCACTGAGCCCCTCAAAAGACTGTGGGTCCCCAAAATATGCTTATTTCAATGGCTGCTCCTCACCAACTGCTCCTCTCTCACCCATGTCCCCTCCTGGGTACAAGCTGGTTACTGGTGACAGAAACAATTCCTCTTGCCGCAATTACAACAAGCAAGCTAGTGAGCAAAATTGGGCTAATTACAGTGCAGAGCAGAATCGAATGGGGCAGGCAGGAAGCACCATCTCTAACTCCCATGCCCAGCCTTTTGATTTCCCCGATGATAACCAGAATTCTAAAAAAATTGCTACTGGACATGAACTACAGCCATTAGCCATCGTGGACCAGCGACCTGCAAGCCGAGCCAGCAGTCGCGCCAGCAGCAGACCTCGGCCTGATGACCTGGAGATCTAGATTCAGGCTTGAGAGCATCAAGATTCCACGCAATTGTGGAGGAGAAATCCAGGGTGCTATAGAAAGTGCACCTTAGGTGTTGATTTTGTTCCAGTGGATGTGGTACTCAGCAGCCTTAGAAGTGAGGCTTGGAAAACAGAAGACATTAGAATACTTAGGTTCTTTGGGGGCATCTGGGATAGGCGGGTGGACAGGGAGGGGATAAGGGAGGTACATGTTGGTATTTAATGTAGTGGATTCAAAGAACTTAAATTCTAAGTAAAAGTTACATTAGGTGATACATAGGTAAGGGCTTTTGCTCCCCCCCACACTCTTAAGAATGCTTCTTTGTATGTGAACGAGTGGGTGATCATTATGGCTAAATTTTTTTCATCTTTGTTTTATCAAGAAACTGAAATAACTTTGGCCAGGAATAACTACTTCCCGAACATGTTATTTCTTTTCAACAAGACAAAAAACAATAGATTGTCCTTGTGTCCCTGTCAAAACATTCCATTGTTAAAATTTGCACTTTGAAGGTAAGCTTTCTAGGCCTGACCCTCCAGGTGTCAATGGACTTGTGCTACTATATTTTTTAATCCTTGATATCAATTAAAAGTTCTGACAAGGCCCACAGAAAAAGATTTTGCATGCATCTGTAAAGCATTTGCATGTCAGCCAGTTCTGTGTATCCACTTTCATCAGACCATTACCTTCACGTTTTCATCATTCCTCAACTACTCTTCACATTCACTAAATGGTTTCTGTAGACATTTTTAAAACAGTTGGGATGTCACTTAGCATTTTTTTAAGTTAGCGTCAGGGAAGCAAGCCATGCTCAATATTTAACAATCACTTGGATGTGTGTGTGTGTGTGTGGGGAAGAGTGTGTTCTATTTGTCATGTATTGGTACAAGCAAATGCAGTATAAACTCACAAACACAAATTGGAAAACAATGCACACATGCTGTTCAAATTGAAGATTTTCTCATGGATTTTGTGGTGTGGGCCAATATGGTGTTTACATTATATAATTCCTGCTGTGCAGTAAAGCACACTTTTTTCCCAATTTTTTTCTCCCATGTATCCTGTGGGGTACTGGTTTTGTTAATTATGATTTTTTTTCTTTCTCTCTCTTCTTTTTTTTTTAGAATGTAGCAGTAATGCTATTACTGAAATGAATGATTTCCTTTTTCTGAAATATAATCATTGATGCTTGAATGATAGAATTTTTAGTACTGTAAACAGGCTTTAGTCATTAATGTGAGAGACTTAGAAGAAATGCTTAGAGTGGACTATTAAGCGTGCCTAAATGAATTTTGCAGTAACTGGTATTCTTGGTTTTATCCTACTTAATACACATTAGTTCAGAAATTGTATTCTTTTGAGTTTGACAGTCTTTTGGTGTGACCAGCAACTTTGATGTTTGCACTAAGATTTTATTTGGAATGCAAGAGAGGTTGAAAGAGGGTTCAGTAGTGCACATGTAACTAATTTATTTGAACTATATGTTAAAGACATCTACCAGTTTCTTCAAATGCTTTTTTTAAAACTCATCACGGATGATCGGTGAAATTGTAGAGTGTCATGCTTTTTTCCTCTCACGTCAGCTACATAAACGGTTTTGTACAATGAAAAATACTAATTTGTTTGACATTCCATGTTAAACTACTGTCGTGCTCAGCTTCACTGCATGTAATGTGGACCTAGTCCATCGGGTCATGTGCTCTGGAGAGTGTTCTTTATTCAATAAAGTTTTAATTTAGTATAAAGATTGCCTGTATATTCTGTGATTTTAAAAACTTACCTATTGCTTCTATTCAAAATTGTCAAAGTTATTTCCAGTGGTTCTAAGGACTGGGGAAAATAACATATATTTAGGGATCATTAAGAGGACATTAGCTATGTTCTGTGGAACAGTGATTGTAAACATTTTTGGGTATTTATTCAACTGAGAAGATAAAGTATACAAGTGTTAAATTTGGAGTACAACTTTTTTTTTGCTGTGCTAGGAATGGAATACAGGATCTCATACATTCTAAGCATATTACCACTAAGCTACTTCCCCTGCTGGATATAGCTTTAATGAGATGTGTGATAGTGTTTAAAATAGCACAATATAGGGCTGGGAATTTAGCTTAGTGGCGGAGTGATTGCCTAGAAGGCCTGAGACCTCTGGGTTCAAACTCTAGCACCAAAATTAAAAAGGTGATACTGACTAATGTAGATTTTGTGTAGCAGAATTAAGCGCAAAAACCTAAGGATTCTGAAATTTTAAAGTTGTGGAGCTGCTTGGAGACAAAAGAATAAGAACATGTTAAATTGGGGTATAGTTACAACCAAAGAAAGAATGAAAGAGGTCTTGGTAATTTTATTACAAACTGAAAAATGCAGAAAATAAGATTTATTTTTCGGACCTGGTCTCAGTATATAACCCAAGTTGGCTTAACATGAGATCCTGCCTCAGCCACCCAGGTACTGGGATTATAGCTGTGTCCTGCCATGCCTGGCCCCAAAATATTTTAGAAATGCTTAACCCCTGAGAAAAGCCTAACCCTTCAAAAGGAATTGAGTAATTTGGGCAATTGGCTCTATTGTAATTTCAATTATATAATTATTATCAGAGCTTTGCAGTCCCTTCAAGAATGTTTTTAACTTCGCCTCTGATTCTAGCACTGAGAGTCTGAGGCAGGATGATTGTGAGTTCGAGGTTGGCCTGGGCTTGTAGCCCAGATCCAGTTTCAACAGAACAGAAGAATGTTTCTAATTTACTGCATTGTTTACATAAATATTATCTACCACAAAAATAAACTAGTAATTTACTAGTTTAAAGCTGAAACTTTTAGTAATTTAGAAGTTGTCTAGTCCAGTTATGGTATATATTTTCTAACATCAAAGGATTACTTGATATCGTATCAACATTTCATAAAGAACTCTTATTTACCTGATCAAGAATCGGGTGGAACCCGTGGCTCACACCTGTAATCCTAGCTATTTAGGAGGCAGCGATCAGGAGAATTTGTGTTTGTGCCCAACACAAAAAAGGGCTGGGGCATGACTCAAGTGGGAGAGCTTTTATCTAGCATGTGTGAGGCTATGGGTTCAAATCCCAGAACTGCAAGTAAATAAATAGATAAAGCAAATTCTTGAACAATAAAATTGGTCTTATTTGATTCAATTTTTTCCCTAAAGAATAAGGGAAGCTTTTGGAGTTTTTTTTTTTTTAGATGTATTTATTTTTGTGGCCTCACACATCCTAGGCAGGTAGTCTACCACTTCAGCCACTCTGCTTCTTTTGTGATAGGGTCTCAAGAAGTATTTACCTGTACTGTCCTCAAACCTCGCTTCTGATCTCTGCCTCCTGAGTAGCTAGGATTACAGGTGTCAACCAGCCATACCCGGCACCAGTAAAGTATTTTTCACAGAAATTTATAAATACCAAGTACTCTGCCATTCATCAAATGGACCTGACTTCTTCCCTTTTTTGAGACAAGGCCTCACTATGTCACCCAGATTGACTTGAAGATGTGATCCTGCCTCAGTCTTCCTAGTGCGGGGATGACAGGCCAGGTTCGATCCCCAGTACTGCAAAATAAAAATATACACACACATAAAAATATAACATATATAAATATAGTTTATACATGTATAGAGTTTGAGACCACAGAGGTCTATGAAATGGAAAATTTAAACATGCCTTCATATTCCTCAAAACACATCAGAGAAACCACTTGGACTTTTCAAGACATCAACCATGTATCAAGACTTTTGTTAAGCAGTGGAGGTTCATGGAATGACCACAGTTTCTGCCCCCAAGGAGCACACAGTGTGAATTCCTCCAGAAGTTGAAAAAATTATGCTCCATTTTTCATTTTGCTTATTTATGTATTTTAAGATGGGGGTGTTGCTAAATTGCATGGGTTGGTCTTCAACTCTTGAGCCTCCTGCCTCAGCCTCCTCAGTAAGTCAGATTTTAGCCATGCATCGCCATGCCTGGCCATTTTGCTTCATTAGCTGCCTGGTTTTGCCACTAAATATTAAATTGAGCTGTGCTTAAAAAATTAAGTGAGCAGCCAGGCACTGGTGGCTCACACCTGTAATCCTAGCTAGTTGGGAGGCTGAAGCAGGAAAATTGTGTTCAAACCAGCTCAAACAAATAGTTCTTGAGATCCTATCTCAACACAAGTCATGCCTGTAATCCTTGCTACTCGGAAGGCAGGCATCAGGAAGATCACGGTTAGAAGCCACCCTGGGTAAATAGTTCAACAGACCCTACCTAGGAAAAAACCTGTCGAAAAAAAAAAGGGCTGGTAGAGTGGCTCAAGATGTACACCCTGAGTTCAAACTGCAAAAAAAAGAAAATATCCAACACAAAAAAGAGCTGGTGGTAAGCAGCTCAAGTGGTACAGCACCTGCCTAGAAAGTGTGAGGTCCTGAGTTCAAACCTCAGGACTGCCAAAAGAATAATAATAGCAAACTGGAGGCATGGCTGAAGCAATAAAGTGCCTGTCTAGCAAGCATAAAACCCAGTACCACCAAGAGAAAAAAAAAAATTGAAAACTCCAGCAGTCAGGAGGCTGAGGCAGAAGAATGGTGAGTTCAAGGCTAACTTGGGTTACATAGTAAGACTGTGTCAAATCAACAGAAGGTTATATAATTTTGATCTACAAATATTTAAAACTCATTCTTTGCATAATATTTCATGTTTAAACAGTTGGAAATTTTTGAGCTAGGCATGGTGGTTCACATCTGTATTCCCAGAACTCGGGGGATGGAAGCAAGAGGACTGGGTTCAATGACAGCCTGGGCTATATAGCAAGTTTGAAGCCAGCATGGGCTACAATTAGGAGACCCTATCTGTCAAAAAAGTTGGAATTTTAGGTAGGTGCTATACCATTTGAGCCACTCTGACAGCCACAAAAAGTTGGAAATTTTTTAATCTTATAGAAACCTTGCTGTCTAGTAGAATTTTTCCATGGTGATGAGTGTTTTATGCTGTTCAGTATGTCAGCTATTAACTTCTTGACATGTGGCTAGGCAGTCTGAGAAAATAAATTGTTTTCTTTTAGTTTAAATGGCCACATTTGGCAAGCGGCTCTGGGTTGCTCACAGTTCTAGAGTCTAAGGAAAATTTATTTTTCCTCTAATATGCTGGAAATGGAGAAGATGACTATACTGGAAAACTAGAAATAGGGAAAGGAAGGTCCTTTTCAGTCATAATTCTAGCAATATTTCTTACTTTGTAAATGATAGGAAATTTTCATTTTAACCAAAGTTCCTACCTTTATATGAAATTCCATAGCCTTTTGTTAAACCATCACCTATTGTATATTACCAGTGTTTTTTAATTGAGAGTTTTATACAAAGCTGGGTGCAGTGGTTCAGGCCTGCAATACCAGCTACTCAGGAAGCTGAGGTCTTGTTAGTTTGAGGCCAGCCTGGGCCATACAATGAAACCTGGTCTCCAAAACAACAACAAAAAGAATACAAACTTTTCTTTTTTCAAAAGTGGCAGAATTATCTAATGCCTTTTGATGTTAGGATGAAATCCAGTGCCCTTGTGTGTGTGTGTGTGTGTGTGTGTGTGTGTTTTCTGAGGCAGGGTCTTACTGCCAGTGTCCTTATTTTGTTTAGCTCATTTTCAGTCCAGCCTCTGGAGGTTTTGATTAAGCTTCCAGACCTAGGGCTATTCCTTTGCCTTCCTTTGTGAAAATTGTTGAAACTTCTTCACCTGCCCAGGGTGCTAGTTTCCTGACTCACTTTGCCTCTTCTAAAAATTCCAAACTTCAAATTCCAACATGCCAAAACATCTGTGCTTTGTACTTGGAGGGAGAGCAAAATAATGAAGTTTGGAGGCTTATTAAAGTCTTAAAGTGAGTTATCTCCATAAACAGTAGCACACCAACAGTGTAGAAACATGTTTATAATTTCTATTGGCTCTGCAGTCCTGTTTTTACCTTTTCTTGGTTGGGCAAATATAGCTGAGCCCTTGACAAGTCAGAATTTGCAGCTGGCAATTTTCAGAACTCAGTAAGAGACATGGAACAAGCACCACAGGAACACTGTTTTAAGAAGACTATGTTGTAGAAAAGAGCTCATTTGAAGGAAAAATTTCACATTTGTATCCTGGTCTTCAGAAGTGACAAAATGATTTTGTCTGGTCTCCAGATGTTTCTCTCAGAGGACCAAATGCTTATTTGAGCTATGACATGTAGTGCAATTTCAGTGCCCACACACTTTCCTGTTGAATACAGTGTCAGGAGATGCCCACTTTAGAGGGCCAATCCTAGGCTCAGGTTTTATTTAATGTATTCGCCACCTGACCACACACTGTATGAAACAAAACAAAGCTTATTACCCTGTCTTTGGTGCTGTGATTCTTTGTCAGGCAGTTTTCCTTTTCAATACTGCTCATAAGAATTAGTAAAGACAGTAAGATAGGCTTTGACTGCTATGGTAGCAAAGATCAATAGGATTATTTTACTTTAAAAAAAGAATAAAGAGAAGTATAAAACTGCTTTCTGCTTTGAAAATTCAGGTCAGAGTTACATATTTCAGGTATTAAGAATCCTGAACCTAGTTAACTGGTATTTCAACTATAAAAATTCCCATAAATATCTAGACTAACATTATCCCCAAATTGTGAGAAGATGATTATAATTGAAGTTAACTCAAAGAACTTTAGAACGTAAGAGGAAAATGTTCAGATTTGTTAAAATGGACTTGAAGCCTCAACTCCAGCCAAAGTCCCAGAGTCTGCTTGGGCATTACT